TTTCCGTAGCTTGTTTTGTGCAGGATAGCTCATTTCGGCGAATAATTGTAGCTGGGTACGTAGATGCAGAGCGCAAGTTAATTCCATTCAACAGATAGTTTCCACACGACGATTAATTTTCTTTTAGCGGAAAATAGTTTCTTTCCACCTTTTGACAAGTTATTTTTTGGTTGGCAAGGAATGAATAGTTCATTTTTAGCGTTAAATGCAACGGTCGACAAATGCAGGGGCAGTGAATAGTTGTATTTCAACTATTAGTTTCTATATATTGGTCGGTGGTTGATTAAATAGTTTACTGTAGGCAAATAGTTTTCTTTTCGAGAATATGTTATATTAGATAGAGTGTATCGGTATGTGATTTTGCTATAGCTATTATTTATCCGCAAGAAATGATAAAATACACTTATTGTATAGATCTATAAGGGATTAACAATCCCACACCTGAGCTGCTTGCAACAGCTAGGCCGACAGGCTTGGGGTGACAAATGGCATAACATTCTGACGCCTGAAGAACGTCGTAAAGGCCACTAGGTCATATCAAGCATGGTTATATGAAACTCATAATAGTATCAATTAAAACAATTGTTTGCGGGATTAACACTACTTCAAAGGTTTTATATTTAAATAATAAAACTACAATACACTATTTTACACTACAGCTGGGGGATAGCAGACATTCATACAAGAAGGTTTTCATACATAAACTACTACAAACATTACTACAAACCCTACTACAGACACTACTATAGTATACTATTTTCTAGTACATAGTACAGTAACAAGCATACATTTTGGTCTTAAGGCCTATGACTGCATTTCAATTACTATAGAAAATATTAGATTTTATGGAAGCACACTACAACATTTTCAAGGAAACAAGACATGCTTTTCATCTCAATAACATACTTATGAACTCACCAACTTAAATGTTGATACACTTTCAAAATCACTTGTATTCTCAGGGAACCGATAGACAGGTACGCTACAGGTTTTTGAGAAGACGGAGCTTTTAGAGTCGCGTCTTTTATAATTTTGCTATACCTTTTTGATGTCATACAAACTATGTATTGAACAAATGTAAATACTATATTTTATCAATGTAATGGTTGTGTTTGCTTTGATTACTATGATACAATTGTTGTGATATTGTACATGACGTCCTCCGCCCCCAAACGTTTCCGCCGTTTCCGGTTTGGGGGTGTGACATATATGTATTATAAAGTAGTAAGTATATATATATATATATATATATATATATATATATATATATATATATATATATATATGGGTGAGATCAGTTGAGAACTCATAGTTTTCCGAGCACTAAAAGTGGAGTGTTAGATCAAAATTAATTCATTAAAGACATGATCGTCATCTTACCAATCTCATTTTAATGTTTAATTTTTTTTTATTATTGGAAATATTAATAGAAATGTCTAAAAATTCACATAATAAATCAAATTTCGTATTTTTTTTTAAAATAATATTTTTCGATTTTTTTAAAGTGCAAATTTTTTAATTTTTTTAATAGAAAACACAAATTTTTGAAAAAAAATACTAAAAAAAATATTTAAAAAAAATACAATTTTTTTAAAAGGATTTAAAGATCAATAAATTAAAAAAAAAACTTGAATATTTTAAAAATACTATAGTTTTTTAACAAAAAAAAACATTTTAGGTACATATATGCATATTTTTACAAATTCATATATGCATATTTCATATACTATAATATTTGTAAGGAAATCATAAGAAAACTCATTTTATTTACTAATCTATATAAACACAATAGAATAAATATTTTATTCGATACAAGATAAAATATAAAAAACAAAAAAATGCTACAAAATTTCAAAGCGTTTTCATGTCTTCGTGTAAATATTTCCAAATTTTTCTTCAATTTATTATTTTTCACCTCTTCAATATTCACCATAATTTCTTCCAAATCTACAAGAAAATTAAAAAAAAATTGATTGATGCAAAAACACTCACAAAAATACATATGTGATTTACATATGATTAACATATGAATCACATGCGATTCACATATGAATCACATTTACATATGACATCATATGTAAATTACATTTGATTTTCATATGAATCACATGTGATTCATATGTGAATCACATGTGATTCATATGTGAATCACATGTGAATTACTTGTGATTTACATGTGAATCAAATGTGATTTACATGTGAATCAAATATGATTAATAGGTGAATCACATGTGATTTATATGTGAATCATATGTGATTAATATTTGAATCACACGTGATTTACATGTGAATCAAATGTAATTTACATGTGAATCAAATGTAATTTACATGTGAATCAGATGTAATTTACATATGAATCGCATGCAATTCATATGTGATTCACTTGTGATTTGCATATAAATTACATGTGATTAATATGTGAATTACATGTGATTTGCATGTGAATCAGATGTAATTTACATGTGAATCACATGTAATTCTTATGTGATTCACTTGTAATACATGTGAATCACATGTAATTCATATGTGTTTCACGTATGATTTACATGTGAATTACATGTGACTCATATGTGAGTTACATGCGAATCAAATGTAATTCATATTTGATTCACTTGTAATTTACATGTGAATCACTACACACTTATAGTCTTGCTTCCAACTAATTACTAATATATTATGACAATTCACACAAATCATATATGATTTGTAATTGATTATTAGAATCACAAAGAAAAGAAAAGAAGGAAAAAATATTAAAAAGTATATGTTGTTAATCCTTTAATTTCACAAGATAACAATAAAATAGCAATGTACTTTATAATTACAGGAAAGGTTTTGTCAATATTTTCTTGAAAATAAAAAGTTTGAAGAACTTATTAAAATGAACTAATAAATTGCAATTTTAGTCTTTATTTGAAGTTTTTTTAACCATTTTGTAAACTTTAAACCATTTAAAGTCATTTATTGCTAAAAGGAAGCAAATTAAAATAAACTATATACTTAGAAAATACATATAATGAAGATGATTATAAAAAAAAAACCAACAAAGAAACCACAACAACCTTCTTTTCATACTCTTTTCCTTCATATGTATCCAAGATATCTAATTCTATAGCAGAAAGCCCAAAGAGAACCTGCTGCCAAATCCTTACTGATCAGATCATAAGTAAATTCATAAATAAGGTTATGATCTCCATGTCATTAAAGATAAGAACTTGTGTAAAAGAAGAAAATGAAAGAAACTTTTGTTTGCTACAAGTGTTGATAAATATATTACATGGAAGAATTGAGAAGAGAAGATGAATATACCAGAACAATTGGCTATAATGGTTCAGATAGTATAGTAGTGATTGATTTGCATAAATGAAGAAAACAACCATAACCATCTCCAATGGAGTTTAAGCCATAATCATCAAATTTCAACTTCTTCAATTCCAATTTTGTTGTAATAAATAGTGTCCATAATTATGTTAGAGTATACAAAAACATGAAACCTAAGATCACCAAGTTTGAAATTTAATGCGATTCGAGTCAAAACTACTATACTCCTGTATACTTTTTTCAATTCAACTCAGGTTTTAATCGGAAATCCTAGTGGATAACAATAACAACGAAATACGTAACAAATCGTGTAAAATTACCAAAACAATGGATTACATCATAGATCTCTTCTAGGCACAAAAACTCAAATAAAGCAAAACTGTGGCATTTTGTCAAACAAGTTGTGTGCACGGATCAAGGAGGCAATGAGAAGGATGAATACAAATATTCATCAAGGTAATGCACACACATCACCGTCGACTATAGCAGAAAATCATGTATTTTATGCACAAATATCATCGATTAAGGAACAATGATGAATATAGTATAAATACCATACATTACCAGAAGAAAATAACAATCAACTAAAAAAACTAATCCAAGGTTTTTGGTACCTTTCACAATTGCTTGAAATCATGAGGCTGAGTCGATATGAAAAAGGTGAACCTCAAATTTCAAATGATGCAGCCTCTTAATTCTTTCAATTTCTCATATAAACTAGAGATTGAATTTGTCCCTGACATCTCCATGTGATCACCACCATCTCCATAGTTTCCGACCTACTAATCAGAACAATAAGCCTATTGGATCTCAATCGAGAATAAATATCCCCAATTAAAAACCAAAACGAATAGAAGATTTAATATACCGACTTGTAATCCACCGTAAACATGTCACAACAAATGATAACTATGAAAGGGATCAAACATTTCAAATTGACATAATGTATCTAAAAGTTTCATAGATATTGGAATTTACATACCTAAATAGTTGAATTGGTACTTTTCGAATAGATGTTATACATATAAAGACCGTTTTTGTGTTTTTGTTCAATAGCTATTTTATCATTCTATTTAAAAGTGATAAAAAAACAAATTGCATTTTATTCAAGAATCGGTAGGGATGGCAATCCTGTCATGAGTTGACGGGTTGAAACAACTACCGGAACTCGACCCGTCTAACTCGTTTAGTTATACGGGTTTGCGATTAATCTTCACGGTGGCGAGTTAACCCATGTTTAAACGGTGGCCGATAGGTATAACCGCATAACTTAAATCTAATATATTATACGATGAATTTTCCCATAAGGAGATCTTTGATTCAAATATTCCCAAGGTTATTTCAGGGTGGCCAAGAGGGAGTTGTACAACAACGCTTGCAAATGCAAGACAAAATGTGTCCATGTCTTCACCAAATGGCGAACCACCTCCAAAGGAGCCTACTTTAATGCATTATTACCCTTTAAAAAATAAAATAAATAAAACGGGTTGTCAGGTTGACCCGGGAACTTAAATACTAACCTGAACACGACCAGACGACATGTTTATTTGGCGGGTTGACGGGTCATGAATCTCAACCCAAACCCGTTTATTTTCATTTCGAGAATTGCCACCCTTAACAACTGGTTTTAATTAAAATTGTAAATGACCACAGTTTAAAAAAAAAACATGATTTACTTTAAATATATATATTTCTATTTTAATAAATATAAAATCTATAGTTCCCTCTCCAAATGTGAGAAATAAACAGGTAAATCAGATACAACATTTCCAGAAATTTACAATCCATTGAAATCAGGTACTTGAGCTCCCAAGGTCAAAGTCCATGGTGTAATCATATTCAATGGTTGGGATAACAGTAGCCACAAACTTCAAGAACAAGAACAGATATCTGCAACCACCACATAATATAGTAATTGATTCCATGATTATTTGAGGAAAAATAAAAAAGAAAAAGAAAAAAGAAAATTTACTTGTCAACTTGTGGTTCGAATCCTCCAGCAAATAAAGGATCAATCAGTTTCTTCATAACAGCAGCATGTTTACACGGATGTACAGATGCATGTTTCCCGGGTAAATGTGGGTGATCTTCAATAGTTACCTGAGACTCGTAACATTTACAGGTTTAGTCCCTGTAGTATGTCCAAAGTTATGGATACACTCCAAATGTTTCATTTGTTACACCCGTGGTCACTAAAGTTTAACTTAACCATGCATCCGTTAAGTCCATGATAAATGACCAATTTACCCTTGTCTTCTCCTTTTCTCCTTCCACAAGAAACCCTAAATCTTAAGTCATAACACAATATAACTAAACCACAAATCTCAGATTTTGATTTTTATGGTTTAGTTAATTGTGTTAAAATTTAGGAGATGAAGAAATGGAGAAGGAAAGGGTAAAATGGTCATTTTTTTTACCATGTGGACTATGTAGTGCTTACCGTTTTGCGAGCATGATCTTGACTGACATCTTGTAGAACTAATTCTGGCTCAAGAAGCATCCTTGACTGTAATAAAAATTGGTAAAACAAGTTTTGAATTATGAAAATAAATTTATCTCACTAATTTAAATAATCAATGATTATGATTGATGATGTTTCTAACCTCATCATAACCTGTAAGCCATACACGAGGAGTTTGATAATATTTGTCATATCTGGAAGAAAAAAAAAAAAAAGAGTGAAACATCACTTTATAAACAGCAAAACAAAAAGAACTAAAACATGTGAGACATGTGTGTGTGTGTGTGTGTTTATTAAAACTAAAATATTTCACTAATTAAATAAAATAAAAGGAGTTGAAACTTACGTAATGCTGACATCATAAGTTCGAGTTCGTAAAATATTGTCATCATCAGGCTCATGAGCAACGAGATATGTAGGCTGAAGGGTTGCCTGAATAGAAGGGTAAAATGGTCATTTACTTATATTCACAGTTTTGACAGTCTAGAAAAGAAACAGTCTTTATGTATACAGCACTTAATCCAAACAAGCATCATTGCCCATTCGACCACTTAATTCATTTCTAAATAGGAAGGGTAAAATGGTCATTTACTCAAATTCAGACAGTTTATTCAATCCTGTATGGCTGTATTGATTAAGTGGCTGAATGGGTAAAGTGATGTATAGATGAAAAACTGTTTCTTTTTTAGACCGAATGAACTGTCTGAATCTAATATGAGTAAATCAGTAAATAACCATTTTTACCATTCTGTTTATATTTCATCATATTCATACTTACAGGATCATTCTCAATAACATTGTCAGATTCTTCAAACTCTTCCATATCTGGGATGTCTTCTTCCTCCTCTTCAGTGCCAAAATGTGAAGAAAATGGATGTATGGTGTTCTTGCTTATTTCTAGGGTTTCCATTGAAGGAACATTTTCCTCCTCATCACCCTTGGTATCTATACAAAAAGTCAAACAAAGTCAAAACATAACGAAAGTTCATATCAATGATTTCTAAATGGCTGCATACCTTTTGGCTTTCCATGAGTAGCTAACCAGCCATCATTCTCATCATCATCAAGCAATATTTCACCTCCAGCAGCTTCATATTCTTCTTGTATTGATGCAACTCTTCGCAAACAAGGAACTGAATAAAGTTCATATCAAAAGTTAAAGTTGTAATTATATAAAGATTCAAAGAGGAAAAACATAGTTAATGTGTTGTGTAGTTCACAAGCATCAGGCAACATTATTTTACCATTTCGAGTTATCAAAAATTGTTTATCAGAGAGCAAATATGTCTTCCTTTTGTTTGGATCACCTGATTCCCTAACAAAGAAAATAAACAAAGCCAATGTGAGTAGTATAGTAATAGACATTTTTCTTTCACAGATATATCACTAAGCAATGTAAACCATTTGGTTGATGAGAATAAGAGAACAGATTTATTTATGTAGAGTCCAAATGTAACATGCTACAGAAAAAAGAGCGACTCATATTCAGGGAGAGGAAAACATTGTTTATCTGTGATTATGTTCCAAAACAGATGGGTGAAAGAGAAGTCAATTGATGATATTAGAAAGGCGGAGTAAGAAGTAGAGGAGTTTAAGCAATTAGCTTATTTCAATTCTGGTTCATAATAAGGATAACATAATGCAGCTATAAGCTTGTTTTCCCTTGTTCATAAGCATGGATAGAATCTAAGTTTCAGGAACACTACGCTTATTCCATAGAAATGAATATGCATTCTAAAAACATTAATCATGATTCAAATCCAATACAATAAGCTGCTAGATGACATCAACTTATAACACTAACACTCAAGGGACATCATTCAATCAAAGATGAATAAATTGAAGGAAAGGGAAAGCGAATCTACCATGACCAAGTAGGGCATTTGGAAACGAGATTGTCACCGGCGATGACGAATTCGTTAACGCTAAGTACGCCTTTCTCTTTGAAAGCGGATACAGTTCTAGGGTTTGTGATCCTCTCTACCGTACCTTTGAATGCGTCGTGAATCTTTTGCGATAAAACCATCTCCAATCAAACACGGAAATAGGATAGGAATCCAATCGAACAACGAAATTTATCGAAGATCAGAAAGCCGATCTAGTTTTTTTGTCAAGAATTTTGAAAATAAGTTAAAGGTCGTCAAAATTTTACACCAATGATATAAACATTACCTCCGATGAAAATAAAAACTAGAAAATACGGGAAATCTACGAAAAAAAAAAAGTTAAAAATTTCAATATTTCGGGTGTTTCATGGTTTAATCTAAATTTTTATTTTTTGAAGAGAAAAGTTCTGATTATTTTATATGTTATTCAAATTAATTAAATAGTTTTTATTTTTTTTCAACAGAAAATGTCAGATTATCGTATAAAATTAGATAACGATAACTTTTCTGTTCAAAAAATAAATATTGAGATTAAAACATAAACCGATCCAAAATATTGAGACTTTATTAGAGATTTCTCGAATACAGACTATTGGAATTCTATGAAATATGGGTAATTACATACTTTTTTATGTTTAACTTTTGTTAAGAAATTGAAATCCGAAATAAAAAAAATCCATCAATGGATGGAATAATCCAATTCAAGAGGGAAAATGAAAAATTACAAAATTATCCTTTCTCTTGTCATCATCATCACCACCACCACCAACACGACCTCCGCCACAACCACCGCCAGCGCCACAAAGGGAGAACTAAACATTCATAAGGAAGGAAGGAGGGGCAACACGATATTCCTCTAAATTAGCATGTCAAGTTCAAATTTGATCTGGTTCTCGAGGCAACACCAAGCACTAAGACATGTAAACTCCCACCACCATAATGTAAGAGTTATCTACAAAACATAAGGAGTTGTTGGATAAGAGTAATTGGCGGAACAATGTGTTGCAAGGACACATCAATCCTCTTTTTTTTTAGAAGAAATACGAGTTGCTTAAAGGTATATCGTTTGTAGATAACTCATCGAAGTACCCGAAGTAGTAAATTTGTTATTTCTATACATTTCTCTTATGCTCATGCAATACTATAAAGTTATAAGAGGTAGTATTATGAATTAAAAGGAAACTATTAAAGGTATTAGATACATCACACTAATCATTCCTCGAGCAAATAGAAATAATATGACTTGTATGTAGGAAGTTATGACATTTGAATCGTCTATACGCACGAGTTTACAATCTTTGAAAGATTCCAAGTTGTGGATGGTCTTGAAAAGAAACTTGAGTGTATTCTATGAAAGGAATGTCATGCTAAGACATGCTAGTATAGAGTGAGAATTGACTAGGAACTTCTCAACGAGTCGCTTATAAGTTGATTTCAAAGTTGTGCATAGAGTTCTATATCAAAACAAATAAAAATACAACACAAGATTATTAAGTTTGTATAAGTTGGTTATTTAGATTGAGTATCACGAATACTATGTAGGTTAAATAAGTTGATCTATAATGAACAAGTTGACGATAAGTGCCTAATTCAAGTGTGATATGAGGTATACCTGTGACATCCCCATTTTTCTCGGCCAGAAAAGTCCGATTTAGTTTATGCTTTTAAAATAAAATCAGAGTAATGTAGGAAATATTGATAACCAAAATATAAACGCTGAAGCATAAACATTGAATCTTTAATCTCGAATCTGATTAAAAGAAAACTTAAACATTAAAGAACGATTACATACCTGATTTCATTATAATCTTCGGATCTGAAGAATTAGGGTTAAGTTTTCCAGTTGATCTCAAGAGCTCTCTCTAAAAATCCCTCAGCAAACCCTAAACGAATTTACATGTGTATTTTCGTGTGTCTTGATTACTCCTCATCACATGTATATATTGTAATGCCCGTGTTTCTAGGCTAGGCATTAATATTGACGTTATAGTCTAGGTTAACGTTTGTAACTCATTTTGAAGAAATGAAAAGGAATTATGTGAATATTATGTGAATTGTGTGTTTTATGCTTAATTATTAGGGTTTAATTAATTAAGAATAAAAATGAGCGTCAAAAATAAATATTAGATAAAGCTGATATCTATTAAGAAAGTTGTAGTGGTCGTGACAAGGATTAAGGATATATAAAATTTACCAAAATCCGAGTTATAACGAAGAAGTTATGACCTGTCGAAGTTTCGAGACAAAACCGGCACAGTGCCGAATGTCGTAAAAAGTGAGTTTTTGATAAACTACTTTTTAGCCTTAGTGATCTAAACGAAAGTCGTAGTGTTCGTTAAACCGAGAGAATGTATAAAAAGAACGCCCAAATCTGACTTCGTATGAGGAAGTTATGATTTTTCAAAGTTTCAGCTTAGCAGTAGACAGCTAAAAACTCGAATTTTAGATCGAGTGATTTTTAGCCGACACGACCTAAACGAGAATCGAAGGTATCGTCAATAGTAGCACAGCGGTAAAAAGACAGACGAAAACGGATGTCGGATGAAGAAGTTATGAATTTTTAACGGATTTCCTGTCCCGGTCTGTTAAAAATAATAATATAAAAATTAAAGTCAAAATTAGCCGACAAAGTCTAAACGAAAGTTGTAGAGCGTAATTTTACCTACGCGTGCATATAAAGAACGTAAAAAACGGAGCTCGTATGCGAAAGTTATGGATTTTAGAAGTTTTTGCACAAAAACCGAGAAAATTCGCATAGGTGGACTTCGGCCACGTCACCCTCGCTCAAAACATGCCACGTGTCCGAAATTTGATGAGTCACCGAAGCCACCTAGCGAGACGTGTCACCTGCCCTCACATCCGAACTTCGGTCCAATGGGAGTGCGACGCGTACCCTCTTCTCACGTGTCCGACCCTCGCATACAGTGCCACGTCCGAAGTCTCGGACTAGACCTCGGTCCAATCAGAGGCTGACAGCGAGGCCCTCGCATGCGCAGCCCACGTGACCTCTTCTCAGATCTGCTAACGCATGGAGACTTCTCAGCCCTTGGATCAGAAGCCTCGCCCCTATAAATAGAAGGGTGCGAGACCTCCCGGTTATATTTTGCAAACTTGTCATTTTTAGCCCCTTTTTTCAATATTTCTTTCATTCCAACTTCCCCCAAAGCCCCGGTATTATACCAAACACCCGAAATGCGCCCCGAAGTGCCCGAGAAGCCCGAGAAATTTATCTTTTCGGTTTCAAAGCCCGACCCTCGCAGAGCCCGGTTTCTGAATAAAACTCTCGGTTTTATTAGAAACGAACGTTTTAGGAAACGAATTGCTGCCCGATTATCATCAAATCATGTGAGTGTATAATCACCTTCATCTTACACCTAGATATGAAGTATTTTCTATAAAATATGTGCTACATGTAATTATATTAATTGTTTAATTGAGGTGACTGTTGAATAGATGTTTTATACAAGTTTTAAACTGTATATGTATTTTTATCTACAAATATGTTGGATAAAACATGGGTAGATAGTGATGTGTGATGAAATAAAAGTGATGAGAGGCCTCGATGTGATTGTGATCCAGTCATCTAGCGGAGTTTGGATGACGACCACAGACTTTCTAGACAGTCCAGTGGAACGCTGGCAGGCCCGCAACCTGTAGGTGTTAATGAACTTGGGTGTTCATTCGCTGTACTCCATCCCCCTCATGGTTGCCTTTAGGACATGTATGGCTGAGGAAACCCCTTAACAGTAGTGTCCATCCCGATGATATTCTTTAGGCTAGGTCCCCTTCTGATAAGTGTTTAGGGACGTAAAGTGAGGATAAAGGGACCGGGTAATCAGGGTTATTGTTGATTGATGAACTTAATAAGTTTATTATTATTGTGGGTTGAAAACCCTATATGCTCACCAGGCTCCCAAGCCTGACCCACTCAGCTTTTTATGTTACAGGTAGTGGACCCCGAGCATAGTCGGAGGACGATGAGAGATTTTTGGATTATAGGCCAGTAGTTGTAAATAACTGTTGAAAGGCTTATAATGTCTTGTTTATGCTTTTGATCTGTATCGGAACATGACATCCCGAGGTTTTGATATGAAATGAAACTATACATTTCTTAAAGAAAGGTTTTGCTAAACCTTTATCATGTTTTGTTTTGGGGACCAATTCCGCAACATCTTTTAAAAAGATTTCTCTGATTTTATTTTAAAAAGCATAAATTTAATCGTTCTTTTCTGGCCGAGAAATTAGGGGATGTCACATATATAGATGGAGATATACCCTAATGTGAGAGATGGAAGGGATCTTGAGGATCTTGAGTCAAACCGGGAACTCAACCCACAAGGTAAGTTAATATTCTATAAATCGGTCCATCAACAATTTATATTCTTACCATAATAATTGGATTTAATAATATATCGTACATATTTATGAAGTGGTCCCATAATTATCCAATAATCTCCCACTGGACCACGAATATATAAATGTACGTATAACTGTATAAGCGCTTTAATGAATGTTATTATAACATTGGTACCCTTAAGCAATCTCGTCCACTAATCATAATAGTATAGGATCAAAGCGGCATTCGCTACAATTTACGTAACTAAACCTATCAATGGTCACATATACATATATAACTAACGACATGGATTAAACATGATGTGTGATTTTAAAATCTAAATAGATTTCCGACGAGTTCCTCTTTAGATTGAAGTGAGATCAAACTTCAAATAAGTGCAACTAATAATGGAGTCAACCGAATTCTTAATTCTGTACAACAAAACATAATTGTTCTTAAACACTACATAAAGCACCATAAAACTCCCACTAAAACCAAATATCACACCAACGTGTGTAGTATGCTCATGAAAGACCTAGGGATGTAATCCCTTTATGAGCGGATCCGCTTTCATGGAGTTTGTTCATATGTGCTATATATATTTCCATTTTGCACTATTGTGTTAATAGAAGGAAACTTGATGTCAATATTCTTTGACTTAATAGAACTTCTGTTGTTGGAATATAACATTGCTGGCTTATTATCACAACTTTAGTGGTCTTTCAATACCAATAATGTGTAGCCTCGTGACAAAATTCCGCAACCATATTCCATGCTACAAATTATTCTGCCATTATAGAAGAAGCTACCGAAATCTATTCCATGAAATGGCTCATCATGCTAAAATGTAAAAGTATCCTGATATGGATCGGTAACCATTTTGGCATTTAATAAAATTAGATTCTTAATAAAAAATGATCTCCAA